TTTGACTCTCCTTTACTTTTCGTAGGATTCCTTCTCTCTTTCTAATTGAGGTATGTGATTCCGTTTGGTCTAATAGCACCCGCCGCAATGAGCTGTTTCAATTGAACTTCTCCCCTCTGAAGTTGGTGAATATTCAACGTAAAACTGATAAAACGGGTTCTCTTCATCTTCTTTTCAGTTAAAAAGGGGACTTTTTAAGACTTTAAAAGTGTCAAACCTTTTACTATAAATTCATTAATCTTAGCTTATCGGGTGTGTAATAAATGCATATAGAATCGGCTATGTTTCACATATTTTCTTGTACTCATCACACAATATAAAAATATTTTAATTACTTAGATATATTTCTATCCGTTATTCGATAAACAAGCAATTGACGTTATCTCATGTGTTTAAGTACTTATATCAAGCCTGCTCAGCCCGATTTTTGAAACTCAGATCGATCTCAGCATTTACAGTGCCGGGCAAGAAAAACACGCATTTTAATTTATTTCAGATGTTATTACTTTTAGGTTCTAACTCATGATATAGGTATACTGCAGGCCCAAGAAATGATTTTTTTTTTAATTTGAGGAAGGTAGACAACCGCCTTTGTTGTATTGTTGCTAATGATCAGAGTCGAAATATTTTTTTTTCATAAGCCAATTCCCCATCCTTATTAAGTTCATACTGCACTCTGAATACGTCAATATTCCTTTAGCAGTATTTTATCGTGTTGTCGGTTCATATTCAGTTGGGTGACAGACGTTAACAAGGCCGGGCCTCGTCGATGTCGCACCGGGAGCGAGCCAATCAAACCTCATTGTTTCACAACATGATCGACGTTGTAGGCCAAACGTAAATACCGACTCAAATCTACCCTAAACAATCTTTGTTGTCTAGTCTAATACATTATTACGTTCAATATACCTTAGATATCTACGATAAAGATATCGTCATGTTATAAAGACATTATAATTATTTTTAACTATTAGATCCGGATATAGGTATGTTGGTGTGTAAAAATTTTAGTTATACAATAAAGAGAATTTTTCAGTTTATACGAATTACCTATTTTCCGGCAATCACATCCAATATTTTTTTGTCGTCAAACGATTTTTGTATTTTAATTAAACCTATAATTATAATAGGTAAGTATTTTTGAACTTACAAGTAAGGGTCAGTCAGAATAAATCAGTCATAGGGCTGGCAGCCTGTTCCAATACGTACATCTTATGGAAAAGAATAGGTAATAAACTCCACATTTCGGAAAGAACAAGCAACGCAATAAGTTGTGTTGTTCAGAGTGCACTATATTTTAATAAATATACCATATATATACCTTTTTGGTGGAAGCATGGCTCTTCTTATTAGGTTTTTCTGATTTTAAATAAGTATTTATAGAGCTGATATTAAGCTATCAGCTATATTGACTATAAACTATAAAGATAAGTTTAAGAAAATTTCATTACGTAGTTTTTTTATGTTTATTAATTGATTAAAGTGTGGTTAAATTTTTAAACTTTGGACTCATCATCAACAGCCCTTAATGGTCCACTGCTGGATATAGGCTTCTCCTTAGAAAGGTGATTTTGATTGAAGATAAGATTGTATATCGGTTATCGCGGTGTAATAATTTTTAGGCTACTGCCTATGTCTTTCCTTAAGAATCACCTTGACTGCACGGATGGCGTAGTGGTTTAAGCAGTCGCCACGCCGCTTACTACTACGATGAGTGTTTTGGGTCCGATCTCTACATCGTCCCGATACTTTGTGTAATCCACAAATTGTTGTTCTGAGTCTGGGTGTTCTTTGTATCCGTTTCATATATGTTTGTAAAGTCCCCGAAACACACGATTTCACCAAATGTGGGTATTCTTTTGAGAAAAAAGAAAAACAAAGTATACCAAATTTCATTAAAATCGATTCAGCGGTTTAGCCATCAAATCGTTCAGCGGTTTGATTATACCATTGAATTACCAATACTTTCTCAATGTGCAATGTGTATATGTATCCTGGCTCTCACAACTTGACCTTCAGTATAATTTTGGTGGCAAAGAAAAGAAAGTACCTTCAACTATATTGATCAGAAAAGTTATAGTTATTAAAACTCATGTATGAGAAATAATAACAAATAAGTGCCGCAAGTTAATTTATTGGAGGTTTTATTAATTTGGGGACGGTAAGTCTATAGCAGTGACCATCAAATTGCTATCAAATTAGCCTATCCTGCTATCGAATTAGCCTATCAAGGGTACGGATAAATATATCTATAAAAAACGAAACGGAACGGATTTAGTTCCTAAGCAGTAAAATTATGGGTCAGGTAATGGCGTCTTATCCCTTCGAAGCGGATGTAATATGGATCAATCATCCAAATTTATTATGTACGACCCTAGACCCGAACTAAAAGGGTTTATAGATAAATACATGTATTATTTAGAAAACTACAATGTAGGTAACATAATTTCTTAATTGACCCATATTTTATCTAAAGAATTGAATCTTCAACTAGGCTATTATGTCATTTAGTACATTCATTGTCATTTAGCCCCTTGCTATCAGCTCACATTTATTTTTCAAGAATTTTTAGAAAAAAACCACTTAAAAAGCTACTGTCGGTCACATATAATAATTTTCACGGGAATTAACGCGCTCACGATAGGTAATAGGGGTTAAAGTATGAAGCCGATCCGAGTCTAACTATTCAGGAATTAGCGGCATGGCTTAACGTTACCTTACCTACAATGTTGACTCATTTGCATCAAATCAATAACATAAAAAAAATGAAAAATGTTGGCCTCATGATTTGATTTGACTGTTCTGCAGAAAGAAACGCGAGTTGAAACTTGTGTTGCCTTGTTCAATCGGTACAGAAATGAAGAAGTGACATTGACGAAAAATGGATAGTTTGCGATAAGCGAAAACTGCAATGGCTGACCCCAGGTCAAATGCCGCAAAAGAGCCCTAAAGCAAAGCTTAGCAATAAAAAGGTAATGGTAACTGTTTGGTGATCTTTTTATAGTGTTATTCACAATAGCTTTCTCAGGTCTGGTCAGGCAATAACAGCAGATGTTTACTCTGCCACACTTCGACCAATGATGGCGAAACTGGCAGCGAAACAGCTCCGACTCGTGAATCGATCTTCACCATTATTGTTCCATGATAACGCAACACCTCACACTGCACGGTTGACGAATGGTTTCTAACAGTACCTCTACAAGAGCTGCAGTTAGAAACCATACGTCATCCTCCGTACATGCCAGACCTTGCTCCAACGAAATGCCATTTTTTTTCCGTGATTTGGACAAATTTCTCCATGAAAAATTTTTTTTTCTCAGGAATCAATACAAAATGCTTTCAGACAGTTTGTCGAGTTTAGATCCCTAGAGTTCTATCGTAAAGGCATAAATGAACTTCCATTTAGTTGGTTGGTAGAGAAATGTATTGATAATAATGGTAAATATTATGATTAAATAAATATATTCCATGTTAGAAAAAAACGAGTTTTAATTTTTTTTGTACAAATCGGCAATTTTATACTTTAACCCCCTTTTTTTTTCCCCCATGCGGAAATCCCCTTGGATACCACCTATCGGTGGCATGTCGGACTCGAACCGAATAAAACCGCACGCCGTCTCGGGTACTAATAGCCGGGGAACCAGGTGCCCTATACTAAAGTACCGTAAGTAAAGACCTTGCACCTACCGACTATTACTTTTTCCAATATTTAGACAACTCTTTAGTGGGTAAAAAATACAATTCCCGAGAGGCAGTACAAAATGCCTTTGAAGAGTTTGTTGCCTCCCGTCCAGCTGATTTTTACAAGAAGGGCATCAATAGACTGCCAATGCGTTGGCAAAGATGCGTTGATTGCATGGGTGATTACTTCTAATAACAGAAATAAAAAGTTTGAAAAAATTAGTACTTTCACTTATTGCATACAAAATGGCAATTTCATAGGTAAATACCTATTATAATTAATTTGAGAATACAACTGAGTGTGATACGTGTCATGTTTTTATTGTTTTTGTTCATTAACTTGAAATAAAATCAAGATAATTATTTAAAAACAGTCAAAGATATTCCGTGTAGTAACGGATTAAGGATACAGTGTCACCGGGGTGGTGACACTCTGTATCATATATTCATTCATGTATATTCATCCCGAAGGTGTCATAAGACCCGACCAAGCAAACAAACTCTGCAGGGCAACAGCACTGCAAAGAGAACGAAAACTGGAAACAACCCCTATACCAATATGGTATAGGCCAAAACCTCTTTTCTAACTAGAGGCCAATATCCAGTAGTGGACTATAAAAGGCTGTTGATGATGATTGAAAAAACGTGTCAGAGAATACTCTCTTTCCTTTTTGAGAAATTTTGAGCCCTCGAAGTGTTTAATTTTTACACGCATCATCCGAGATAGTCTCAGGCATTTCAAATGACCTGGTTCCCCGGCTATTAGTCCCCGAGACGGCGTGCGGTTTTAGTCGGTTCGAGTCCGACATGCCACCTACAGGTTGTATCCGAGGGGATTTCCGCACGGAAAAAAAAAAGGAATTTCAAATGAATGCTTACCTGTTTACTGCCAGCAACCATAAACCCTGCTTAGAAAAGGATGACAACCTCACTTGGTGTTTTATTTACATTTTGTACCATTGATTACCGATAAATATTTTTAGAAAGTCCCTAAAGGTAAAGAGAATGAAAGAAAATATGTATTCAAAAAATATAGTACCATGTCTTTTGTAGATACGAGACAGCGACCCCAGCACGTTTTGTTATCTTATGTTATGCCGTGAAATATTCATTTTGTTCGGATACTTGAAGAGAGATCTATTAACCAAATGGGTGTAATAAGTTGTTTTATTTTTTTAACTATGGTTCATAACATACTCTATGGGATCATTTAAGATGGCGTCGGTTGTAGTTAAGTCATTGTGATTTTGACATTGACAGTTTCTATACCAAACAAGATATAATAGCATTTTTGTGACTGAATTTGGCTTTTATGGAAAATGAATGACAACGACGAGGAACTCACTACATTTTGTGATTCAGCGGTAAATATACTAACCAATAAAGGTTTTTAATGACTTCGATAGGTTTTCTTATGTTCCTTGTGATTTTGTTACACCTGTATTGTAGGCAGCGCTGGTGGAAGGATGCCGTTTACCAGTTCGAATGCAAGGTGGCGAGGACTGGCCACTGGCTGAGATTATAAGCATAAAAGAAATACGTGGTCAAAGGGGATATTATGTACACTATGTTGACTGTGAGTATTATGACAGAACCTATAACAACAATACTAAACTATGTTTTTATTTTATATATTTTCTTGATAAGATATAACAGCTATATATTTTTAAGCAATATATCAAACATTCGAAGATCAAAATACACTTATAAACATCTTGTTTTGAATTTCTAAACATGTAGGCAAAACTGAAACGTTTCCAATACTACACATTAGACTGTCAAGCCGAAGGCAGTGCATTCAATTCTCACTTAAAACAAATAATTATTACACACATTACAACAAATGATCATGCTCATCACGAGCATGATCATTAGTTGTTTCTGGGTTAATTTATCTATAATATGTATGTATTTAGAAACATTAAGTATTTTTAAGAGTAGTCTGGTTATCATAGCATAAGCTAATAATATAAATAATATCAGACTGCCGTATATGTGCTGTGTAAAGTTATAAAAATAATAATTATTGATTTTTTCTACAAAGTATATCTAAGAATCAAACGTAATAAAAAATAATAATCTTTATGCACAAATTACAACTCACTTGTACAATATCGGTTTTAATGCCACAGGCATTTTCGCCCAGGTAACCTTTGGGTGTGGGGAATATTTAGTGCCGCTGCTTAAGCTTCTTTGCAATTCAGCCATAAAAGCCTGTGGCACCTTATATTTCATAAGCTTACCATCTTAAATATTACTCCTTATGAAAAATGCAATTCAAAATCATTAAATTTAGCCAAATACAATCTATGTTTTAATAGTTAACATGTAACTTCGATTTTAGTTAACAAACGTTTGGACGAATGGGTGGGAGAGTCATGGCTGGATACAAGAAAGGTCCAATTTCCTCGCAGAGATGGCATTGCAGCGGGAGGCACCACCACTCCAAAGAAAACACATATTGGATCAGGAGGTGGCGTTATGCCTAATTTTATTAGTATGTGTTTATTTTACTTTGGACATTGTGTACTCCAGGATGACTTCATTTCCATTACATCATCATAAATGTACATTAAAATTAAATATTTTTTTTTCAATAAATGTTTTGTTTTAGTAGTTAAAAAAAAAAGTTTCTTAAATGCATGTTTAATTAGAGAAATGTTTTTTCCTTTTTAATTTCATAAGTTTTTTTATATTTTATTAAAAAGTTACTAATATTAGTTCACAATTTGCTTCTATAATTTTTAAATTAGAATGTCTTTTACTAGCCTTTTGACTCCTTTTGGCTTTTGGCTTTTATATTTAAAAAAAAAACTTCATGATGGTAGATTGAACCCCACAACTACTTAATAGCGATTGTAAATTCACGCATGTTACTTTTCTTCCATTCATTTTTAAGTAAATCTTATGGGTATCTTTTTTCCATATGTAACATTTATTTTTACTAACTGCATGTTCGATTTACCATCATTATAATTCTGTGTATTCATTTATCATTAAAAATTGGCTGTTAAATTATAATGTTTTGTCTGCAGATGAGACTGTCTGCAATGATAGTCAGAAGTCTAGTATCAATTCAAGTAGACACGCTATTGTGCCCCAACCAACTCCAATAATACAGCCAACCCCACCAAAAATACCTGAAAAGGCCCATCTTAATGCACTCAATGGTTCTGCACCAAAAAATGTACTTGGTATGTTTAAATTTGATTTGTTTGTGTGTCAGCTTTGTGCTATTATAAAGACTTTCATATTACAACACTATTTTGGAAATACTAGGCAATCAAATAATTAAACAAGGATGCCTGTGCAAATGAACACTATTTACATTATTAAATTATGATAGAAAAAAGGGATTGTAGCATGTTCATTAAAAAAGTGTAGATAAGGGTCAACTCAGACAAAGTGGCACTTTTAAATTTTGAAGTTTGTCTTTTTTTTTAAGACAAGACAAGTGAATGGGTGACTTTATAAACAGTGAAGCAATGGACTCAAAGAACACCTAAAAAAATTATCCCAAGAGGAAAAAGCTCTGTAATTAAGCTCCAGCTTTTTTTTAGTTCTAGCTTCCAAGTTTAGAAATATATGGTAGAAGATTATTTTCATGAATATGAAAAGTCCTCTGCACAATTGCATTTTGAGTTGCATTCAAATTGACTGGTTTATCTATTATTGTGTCTATAATTATTGATTTATATGTTTTATTGAGACTTATGTTATATAAGGTATTTTAGCCGGCGAACCCAGGCAGCTGGTGTCCCGGCCAGCGAGTCCTACTCTTGTTAACGACTCATCATCACTTGTCAATGGCGGTGCAGTTCTTGCAGCTGCCTTACAGAAGAAAATTAACAGAAAACGAAAAGCTCCATCTATTGACAATGAGGTAAGTCAAAGTTCAGAAGCATTTTCACATTAAACAAATTAAGATCTAATTTTAATTTGTAATCAATAATTGGTTATTATCAACCTTTCCCTTTAAATAAGCTTGCCAGTTACTACAAATTAATTTGTGAACAAATCACTATTCCTGCACATCCTCGATTTGCGGTGCCTTGATTATATTGATGGAATATGCTGATACAATATATAGATTTCATATGCATGTTTCCTGTTGGTTTACTAGTTGTTAAGCCAGACTATTCACCCGGAAGTCATATGTTCGTTTGGACCAGCGTTTTAGCAAATTTATTGAAAAAATTATGTATGATCAATTACAAAGTTTTTTTTAATAATATTAAATAATTACACAATAGGCAATTTGGCTTTACAAGGGGTCCCTCCACAGCTGATGCCAGTGTTGAGCTAGTAAAACATACTTAACGCCTGGGAGGTTTCTTTAGGTATCTTTTGCGATTTATATAAAGCTTTTGATTAACATAATCTCATAATCAAAGCTCATCATCATGAAACGCTGATCAGGAAATGACAGCACTATGATATCAGAAATAAAACACTGGAACTGGAGCTTCATATCTAAACAATAGGATTCAGAAAGTTGATATCAATGGTGAGCGGCTCCAGGCTCTGTGGTAGAAATACGCGTTCCACAAGGTTCTATCTCGGCACTATTCTGTTACCTTATCTCACCTTGTCAGGACAATCTCGAGATTGTGTTGTGTGCACATGATACATCACTATTATTTAGACTAAAACGGACACTGACTAATTACACAGACGTTAACAGCGCCATTTCGAAAGTGGTTCTTTGGTTGGACGTCAACAATTTGCTTTTAAATGAACAAAAACTAAGTGTATACGTTTCACTATGACAAACGTCAAGCCAGTAAAAACTATTGTGATGATTAAGGATGTCGAGTTAGACCTTGTGGATACTACGACATTTTTAGGTATACTACTAGATTCTAAGCTACAGTGGGGCCCACATATTGATAAATTATCGAGTAGACTCAGCTCAGCATCATACACAGTGAGAAAAATTCGAGAAATGACTGATGTTGATACATCACAACTTGTATACTTCAGTTCTTTTCATAGCATAATTTCGTACGGTATTCTACTGTGGGGGAACGCTACCGACGTTCAAGCTGTTTTTGTACTGCAAAAGAGAGCGATTTATAATTTAGGCAATCGTTGTCCGTTGAGGCAGAAATTTAAAGAAATAAACATAATGACAGTGGCATGTCAATATATATAAATATATATAAAAATGTAACATATGTTCATAAAAACAAGGACAGCTTTTCGAAAAGAATTCATGAACATTCTATAAATACCAGAAATAGAAATAAACTTTTGGTACCTGCCTCTAGGCTCGAAAAGATAAACAATTCGTTTCGAGGTCAATGTGTCCGATTTTATAATAAAGCCTCAAATAATATTCAAGACTTCAAGACAAGTATTAATAAAATTAAATCTGCAATAAAACGTAAATTATATCAGAAAGCCTATTACTCAATTGTGGATTACATAGAAGATAAAAATGTTGATATTTTAGTGCAGACTATTTCTTAAGTGGAAATGTGATGTGGGTTAGTGTGTTTTTTATTTTTTATGTTTCATTTCAATTTCTTTTTTATTCGATTTTTTTTTCTTAATCTTATTTTCTCTTCATTGTGTTTTTACCTTTTAGTCCTTAATAACAGACATCCAAACAATATTTAATGATGCCATTGTATCTATCTGTAAATGAGTGACTATGAGTTTGTTTACATTTACTTCTCATAAGGTTCAACCCCTTGAAAACGAACGGCTGAAGATCGGCACAAGCTTGTTATAGATCTAATTGCTTAATGCTATCTAGCAAAATTGTCTTTAACTTATTGTAACTAAATAAATTAGATAAAAATAATCTTGGAATTCCCGAAAATCTTTACAGTAACAGTAGCAAGTCATTTATAAAACTAATCATCATGATAACTAGGCAATGCTGTTCCTATTTTCTACATATATATATACTGTGATATATACATATATATATATATACATATATCCTATATTGTTACAGGAACCTAAACACAACTCAAAAACGTTTCAAACGGACCACAATCCTGCAGTGGAGACAGAAGGGAGTGAGACTACTGTGAGTGGTACAGCCACACCCACCACAAGGCCTCGACAGTCTGGAAGTATGGTGGCACATGGCCATGATGATCTTGTCACTAGGATGAAAAATATCGAAATGATTGAACTCGGACGACATAGAATAAGGCCGTGGTATTTTGCACCTTATCCACAGGTAAGAAGTGAAGTGAACAAATTATACCTATATAGAAATTCTAAATGGATTATAATTTTTTTTTTGTATTTGATCTCTAATATCTAACACACAACGCCAAGTAGTTTCAAACTAAACAGAGCTTGTAATATAAAAGTTAGATTGACTGATAGAATACTTATATACTTTTTTTTTGTAAATACGAGTACATACATATTACGCATAGAAAACACCAAACTCCGAAACAAATATTTGCAGATCATACAAACCTCCTTTCTAAGGAGAGGCTTATGTCCAGCAGTGGACTATTAAAGGCTGTTGATGTGATAAAAACATTTGGTTCGACTCGGGTATCGAACCCGAGACCTCAGCACAGCAGTGGCATACGGTACCACTGCGCCACCGAGGCAGACAGATTATGACTGAAGCCTAAACTAGCTGTCAAAAATCACACATATGTATACTACTGAAAGTATTAGTTATATTTGACAATCTTCTGGTGACTACTTATATCGGCGTTATTTCTACCGAGCGAGATAACCTGTCCATTATCGATATATTCTTAAACAATCCGAACGTCGCCCTTCGACTTTAATGATATGTTCATTGAACATAACCTTGGTTTGTCCAAGTTTATAATCTGTTATGCCCACTCTTATAATCAGGGGCGATTTTAGCCTAATCAGTTCGTTGTTTTGGTCAATGTTTTGGTCTTTTGCCTTTTACAAAAAAATAACAACTTGAGACAACTCACACACGGCACTCTGACTCCAAAAGAGGCAGAGTCAGATAGACACATTCCACTTAAACACAATAAATTATCTTGCACTTCACAATCATTTATCCTGGCTGAGAATGGAACAATCAGAATCACGAATCATTAGAAATGTCTTACTTTGTCATTAATAGTTTTTATCATTCTTTCCTCACATAAACTAAATAATGTAATTTGATTCTTTTTTGTAGGAGATGGTGAACCTACCTTGTATTTACATCTGTGAATTCTGTTTGAAATATCGAAAAAGTAAAAAGTGCCTTGAGAGACATTTGGTGAGTACTATTTTATTTTTTATTTATTCTTATTTTTAATCTGTTTGTAAAGCCATCTGTTGTAACTACATATAAATGGATAGAAATAATAGAAGCAATTTTAGCTTAGCAAGGAAATGCTACAACAAAATACAAACTGTTCAGATACAATACTAGCGACCCGCCCCGGCTTCGCACGGGTGCAATGTAGATACTACTAAAATGGTGTCAGTGTGGAATATTTAATTATACTATTATTATGACAAGACTGTACTACAGGAAATTTAAATATGCAATATTTATAGTCCCGCTCCGCTCCATCCGGGACTGTAATCCGTTGAGTAGTTTGAAAGATCTAAGCATACAAAAAAAAGCGACTTCATTTTATTCTATGTAAAGATAATAAGAAAATGTTGACTGTGCCGCCGTGGGTTCACACGCGTGTACATATTTAAAAGAAAACAGTATAGTATTTAACTTTCTTAATTTTTTTTTTTTTTTTATTTACTTGTGTGGTTTTATTTAGTTTTGTGTTTGTGAAACATAAAAAACTGAAAACTTTGAAATGAATTATGTATGGAGATACATATTATCTATATTTCTGAACTGAAGTTAACAATGTGCGATTAACTATTACCTAAACTATCTTGTGCATACTAATTTTTTTTTACAACAGCCAAAGGATAATATTTTTTGTAACGTGGTAGACTAGTTCTATAAATAAGTCCTAATGCTTAGAAAATGTTAATGACAAATAAATATTCCTCTCTAATAACACAACGGCTTTTTTACAGATTAAATGTAAACTAAAACATCCCCCCGGCAATGAGATCTACAGGAAAGGTAGCATCTCCTTCTTCGAGATCGATGGGCGGAAGAACAAATGCTACGCACAAAATCTATGCCTGCTGGCTAAACTGTTTCTGGACCACAAGACCTTGTATTACGACACGGATCCTTTCTTGTTTTATGTTATGACTGAGTTTGACGCCAGAGGTAAGATTGGAGATATTACATTTTAAGCAGCTCAAACCATTAGAAAGCATTATTTTCACTATTATTTGGTCCCACGTTGAAAGCGAGATAACGCAACTATGACGCTGGGATTTAAATCCATTCCATACTTCGTATACGAATCATTTAACTATTCGTATAAGTTGTCTTATAAATAGCCATTAAGAAACACAACCAAATAAGAAACCATTTTCTATGTAATGGAAAAGAGGTAGAAACCTCTTTGACTGTTATCTCACCGAAGTCGTTATATCGGCATAGAACCGCCGAAGACCGTTATCTTTTATTTATACTTCAGCTTGTAAGTTCTTCCACTAAACTAAAAATTCACCCTCATTCTTATAAACTGATAAAATTGATCACATTATTTAAAAATTACGTAACCAACAAATAAAATCGAAAGATTGAGTGTAATTGAGTTATATTGTGTAGTATACATTTTTGATTTTAATTTGCAGGATTTCATATTGTGGGATATTTTTCGAAAGAGAAGGAAAGTACAGAAGACTACAATGTGGCATGCATATTGACCCTACCTCCGTACCAAAGAAAAGGCTATGGAAAACTTCTCATAGAGTTTAGTGAGTATAAGAATATGAATAAAAATTGGGTAGATTTATCAATTTAAATGCTTGTACGACTCTAAGACAGGTTACGTGCATAAATAGTCGTATAGAATTAGCGGAAAATGGGTCTAAAAATCGTGACATTATACACGTTACATATAAAACCCACATTCTCACCAAATTTGGGGTCTTAATATTAATTAGAACGCGAGTTATAATTTTTTTTAAAGTGGTAAAATAATGAGGTATTTTGCAATTTGCAAAAAAAATATTGAAACAATCAGACCTCTACAAGTCTCATTTTATTTGTCTTTTTATTGCGCATTTTTCGTACATTTACACTTTCTTTGTACGATTTAAAGTTTCCTTTTAAAACGCGATAAACTGTTTTTGACAGTTTTGTCATTTTTTTTAACAATGTTCCCACGAACAGGGTTAACAATGTTTCGCTTTGAAATGAAATATGTTAATCGTTACGTTGTCAGCTGACGGTTAAAAAAAATGAAATGGAGGTTATCAATTTTATTAGTGAATTCGCTAATTATATCCGACTAAAAGTAAAATAATTTAATAGCAGTGCATTTTTTTATCAGGCAATAAAGCACATACTTCGCATGATACAAAGTTATACTGAATCAATTTTCAGGTTACGAGTTATCCAAATTTGAAGGAAAGACTGGATCGCCAGAGAAACCACTCTCTGACCTCGGTCTGCTATCGTACCGGAGTTATTGGGCTCAAACAATATTGGATATACTCACACACATCAAACCCGTTGGCGATAACGAAAAACCGATCATTACCATTAAGTAAATACTATAAAACTATTTTTAGTTTACTAACCATGCTAATAGCCTCGCTAGACAACTAGCCTCGCTATTTCCTGGGTGAGAATCGAACCCGCGACCTCTGGCTTCATCATCATAACCATCAACGGCTGCAACTAAAGGCTTTTAGTAGTCCACTGCTGGACATAGGCCTCTCCTTAGAAAGGAGGTTTTGGCCTACTATACCACGCTGGCCAGACGGGTTGGTATAGGGTTTGAGTCAAGTTTTCTTTCTCTTTGACCCCCTGGCTTAGCAATCACTAACCACTAGACCAACAGGCCAGCCAGGTCAGTTATAGTAAAGTTATTATCTTCATAGTAGTACATAACAATATGTTGGTTAAGTAAAAATACTTTTATAACGTGGATTAGAAGCATTCTCTGATTGTGACTACATAGCGACGACATCCACTTACTACGGAAACATACTTTCAATTTTATTTAACGAAGGTGCGTGGAACTATGAAGTAACTACTAGTAATTATTACATAATACAACTTTTAAACACCAATAGTTGGACCACGGACCGTCAGGTATCATCATGAAGCCTGAAAGATAGATCCTTCCTTTGAATTTAACAGTCCTAACATCAGTTCTTTTAAAACATAACAATACGCACATTTTAATAAGTCTTAATTTCTCCCTTCTTTTCTTAATTTGAGTTTGAGTTGAGTTGAGTTTGTTGAAGTCCTGGCAATATAGCTAATGTTTAACAACCAAGAACGCCCGCCTAAAATCCTGTAACAATGGACTACCAAACCACTCACTACGAAACAAGGCCTCAATTCTGCTGTGATTTCGTTGACACGCTTTTGAGATGCCATTGACATGGGTCAAAATATCGGTATTCTACTAAATTCAGTGTCAATAGACTGTCGATGTAGTGACAATGGCTCATCGATGTGAAATGGTGATATCAACAATATGGCCATATTATCTAACAAATTAAATATATAATTTCCTTACAAATTTAAAATGTACCGTTTACCAAACTAATCTAAAGACAACGACGTCATTTGTATCAGTGGTAGTTCGGTGACAAGTCATTGGGAGGCCATTAGTCCTACAGAGTTAGTAGAATACTAAAAGTGCAAGACTGTTCCGACGACAGTTTATTGATACTATATTAAAATAGCAGAATCGAGGTCCAGTTCTATAGTGCTAGTTAACAATAGTTTATTGATTGCGAATATATCTCCAACAAAGAATTACTAACAGTTTATTGTCTCTTTGGCTTTCTTGTAATAATAAGATTTTGATAAGAGTGCTTTTGCACACTTTCACAGTGAAATCTGCGAGCTAACCAGTATAAAGAAAGAAGATGTTATAAGCACACTCCAGAATCTTAACCTTATAAATTACTATAAGGGCCAGTACATCATCTCCGTAAATGAGGTGAAATATTATACAAATATATATGTAGATTAAGAACAAAATCTTTCCCCGTGAATTGATATTCCTCTAATGATGACATTAAATATTGTAGCAACACGAAAAAGCCATGGAGAAGAGGACACTACGCATCGATCCTAAATGCTTGCATTGGACGCCTAAAGATTGGTCAAAACGTGCAAAATGGTAAAGCATACTAAGTATCCTTCATCACATCGTTGTTAATCCATTTTATTTTTTATAACCCTTTCAAATTTCGACCGCAGTTGTTCAAACCATCACCGAGTTAAAGTTAGTCGGTAATGTTGACAAACTGAATTATATTTTTTCTTTTGTCACCAGCGTTTGAAGTCATAAGAGTGTAATGGAGATGCGAGCTATCTAACTCTGGCTTCCGAAACGTACGCAGTTTGTTCATTTTGTATCTAACCGATATATACTTTTGTCGTTATAATCATTTCATGTATACAGCACTAACAAGCTTTGGGTTCGTCACAATAACTTAAAATCTTGCATATTAGTATTACCATATAACCATTAAGATAATTTATGCATGTTACATTCATTTATATTTCGCTCTCACTAGCAGGCGCCACTAGCTTAATTTAGAATAACATATTTATAGTTCTTGATATTCTAGAACAGCTAGCATAACTAGATTTATGACATTTGGTATATCTAGACACGTTTTCTATCCACAGTGTGTTATAAAATATAACATTCGTCTAAAAAGGCCGAAAAGCGTATAGTTTGAACTCTATTAGTTTTAAGACTAATTTACCTAGTATACGTATGCACACCGAAGTGATCCATAGGAGTGTTAATCTAACTCGCTAGCCTGCACATTCCACCTGTGTGTGTCTTCCCTTTCGCATCGTAAGTACATTGCGTGCGTTCTAGGTAAATACATAACACCTAGTATAGAATTGACTGCACTGATGGCGTTGTGGTTTAAGCGGTCGCCACGCCGCTTACTACTACGCTGAGTGTTATGGGTTCGATCCCCACATGAAACGACACTTTGTGTAATCCACAAATTGTTGTTTTAAGTCTGGGTGTTCTTTATGCCCGTTTCATGTATGTTTGTAAAATACCCCACGACACAGGATATATTCCTAACGTGGGAGTCTTTAAAAAAAAAAAGAATTTTATTCGTAATAAAAGTATTTCTTGCTTATGCTTAAAAAAATATAAATTTCCTATTTTTCTGTTTGTGTTGATGCCGTCCGTTCATCCACATGGGGATCACCTCCATAATGTGTTCACCGTAGGAGAGCCATGCTTTGGCACAAATGGGTCGGCTCGACCAGAGTGATACTCGGCCTCACAGAAAACCTATGTTAAGAATTTTTTTTGGGGGCACTCAAAAGGCAGCAATGCACTTGTTCTCCTGAGCTGCAGGTTCCCACGGGCGCTGGTAGCGACTTATCATATTAAGTGACCCGTCTGCTCGTTTGCCGCCGCATTCCTTTCCAATTGCTTTCAGATTCGATTGACTATTTAAAAACTTGCGCATGCCACCGAACTCATAAGCAGTGCTTTTTTTTTTTAATTAATCCTGAGCCCATATTATATACATATATTATTAAATACCGTCCAGTCCGACGCCTGCTACATTATTTGGCCCACATAATGTTGTTGAACACCTCGTTATTATGTTAAGTGTCAGAGTTCTAGAGACGAAATCATAGGCCAGGCTGTAGTTATTGTATTTAAATAGCAAGGACGCGTCACCGATTGTATTTCAGAGGGCTTAGTGTGAGTATGTCACATCAACTCTCTTTCGATAGTGAGCGCGTTCGGAGTTGCGATTGGTGAAGATTTCAGCACGGGCCAAACTTAACACCGAACGCTGTCGTTGTGACAATTGAGTTGATGTAAAATAAACTCACACTGGGCCCTCAGAGTAACCAATAAAGTGCATCAGGTATAGTCATACTAGTAGTATGTAATAATTATAACTAAATGATTACCTACGTACTGACGTTGAACTGATATGAACTTAAAATGACCGTAAAATGTTTTAGAATATATTTTACTAAAGATTAATTTAAATAATTTTACACTAATGTATTATTTGTTTTAAGAAAAACAAACCATAAGTTTACCTATTTGACGACTAAAAGGTACATAGGTATTTATACTACATGTTTATTTAAACCTAATGCACATGTTGTACGAACATAATGCCATGAGGCGACCGACATATTCATATTATTCAGACTACAGTGGCAATTTTTTTGGTTTTTATTATAGAAGTAACATACAGTCAAGATCATACTTTACTTTTGCGGCGTTCTGCTTCCTCAATGTGAGCATAAATAATGCAAGGACATACGTTGCAGAAGGCCAAATATGTAATTTATGATTTGCTGTCATTTTTTGAAGAGTTTCGTTGTCTGTCACCGAAACTCACCATCAGAAATATATATAAATACGAATAAATCCCTTTGGAACAACAAATGAATTTTAAAATCTGTCTATATACCTATACCGGAGTTATGTTCGCACATTCATAAAAAACCATAAATAACCTCTTTTTTTAAGTCGGTTAAAAGGTATTTCAATCGTCGGTTGACTTTCAAATAGATATAAAAACAAATGAAAGATGAGCAAACCTGATGAAAATAAAGAATTGTTTGTAATGTTTGTACTACTACTGGTCTTCAATTATTTTATGATGTAATTACAAGTTCATTATGTGTTTTTTTTCTCATAATTATGAGACTTGGGACTTGGAACTTGTAATTTTAATACTTCATATATCTAATATCAATTTTAAAGAGTTGACGTTTACTGCAATACATTGGTTGAACTCGACAGGGAAAAAAATTTACTTGAACTTAATCTTTTTGTTTAGTTACCTTTAAAAAAGGCCATATTCTAACAATTAAATATAATTTCCTTACAAATTTAAAATGTACCGTTTACCAAACTAATCTAAAGACAACGACGTCATTTGTATCAGTGGTAGTTCGGTGACAAGTCATTGGGAGGCCATTAGTCCTACAGAGTTAGTAGAATACTAAAAGTGCAAGACTGTTCCGACGACAGTTTATTGATACTATATTAAAATAGCAGAATCGAGGTCCAGTTCTATAGTGCTAGTTAACAATAGTTTATTGATTGCGAATATATCTCCAACAAAGAATTACTAACAGTTTATTGTCTCTTTGGCTTTCTTGTAATAATAAGATTTTGATAAGAGTGCTTTTGCACACTTTCACAGTGAAATCTGCGAGCTAACCAGTATAAAGAAAGAAGATGTTATAAGCACACTCCAGAATCTTAACCTTATAAATTACTATAAGGGCCAGTACATCATCTCCGTAAATGAGGTGAAATATTATACAAATATATATGTAGATTAAGAACAAAATCTTTCCCCGTGAATTGATATTCCTCTAATGATGACATTAAATATTGTAGCAACACGAAAAAGCCATGGAGAAGAGGACACTACGCATCGATCCTAAATGCTTGCATTGGACGCCTAAAGATTGGTCAAAACGTGCAAAATGGTAAAGCATACTAAGTATCCTTCATCACATCGTTGTTAATCCATTTTATTTTTTATAACCCTTTCAAATTTCGACCGCAGTTGTTCAAACATCACCGAGTTAAAGTTAGTCGGTAATGTTGACAAACTGAATTATATTTTTTCTTTTGTCACCAGCGTTTGAAGTCATAAGAGTGTAATGGAGATGCGAGCTATCTAACTCTGGCTTCCGAAACGTACGCAGTTTGTTCATTTTGTATCTAACCGATATATACTTTTGTCGTTATAATCATTTCATGTATACAGCACTAACAAGCTTTGGGTTCGTCACAATAACTTAAAATCTTGCATATTAGTATTACCATATAACCATTAAGATAATTTATGCATGTTACATTCATTTATATTTCGCTCTCACTAGCAGGCGCCACTAGCTTAATTTAGAATAACATATTTATAGTTCTTGATATTCTAGAACAGCTAGCATAACTAGATTTATGACATTTGGTATATCTAGACACGTTTTCTATCCACAGTGTGTTATAAAATATAACATTCGTCTAAAAAGGCCGAAAAGCGTATAGTTTGAACTCTATTAGTTTTAAGACTAATTTACCTAGTATACGTATGCACACCGAAGTGATCCATAGGAGTGTTAATCTAACTCGCTAGCCTGCACATTCCACCTGTGTGTGTCTTCCCTTTCGCATCGTAAGTACATTGCGTGCGTTCTAGGTAAATACATAACACCTAGTATAGAATTGACTGCACTGATGGCGTTGTGGTTTAAGCGGTCGCCACGCCGCTTACTACTACGCTGAGTGTTATGGGTTCGATCCCCACATGAAACGACACTTTGTGTAATCCACAAATTGTTGTTTTAAGTCTGGGTGTTCTTTATGCCCGTTTCATGTATGTTTGTAAAATACCCCACGACACAGGATATATTCCTAACGTGGGAGTCTTTAAAAAAAAAAAAGAATTTTATTCGTAATAAAAGTATTTCTTGCTTATGCTTAAAAAAATATAAATTTCCTATTTTTCTGTTTGTGTTGATGCCGTCCGTTCATCCACATGGGGATCACCTCCATAATGTGTTCACCGTAGGAGAGCCATGCTTTGGCACAAATGGGTCGGCTCGACCAGAGTGATACTCGGCCTCACAGAAAACCTATGTTAAGAATTTTTTTTGGGGGCACTCAAAAGGCAGCAATGCACTTGTTCTCCTGAGCTGCAGGTTCCCACGGGCGCTGGTAGCGACTTATCATATTAAGTGACCCGTCTGCTCGTTTGCCGCCGCATTCCTTTCCAATTGCTTTCAGATTCGATTGACTATTTAAAAACTTGCGCATGCCACCGAACTCATAAGCAGTGCTTTTTTTTTTAATTAATCCTGAGCCCATATTATATACATATATTATTAAATACCGTCCAGTCCGACGCCTGCTACATTATTTGGCCCACATAATGTTGTTGAACACCTCGTTATTATGTTAAGTGTCAGAGTTCTAGAGACGAAATCATAGGCCAGGCTGTAGTTATTGTATTAAATAGCAAGGACGCGTCACCGATTGTATTTCAGAATGCTTAGTGTGAGTTTGCTGTCATTTTTTGAAGAGTTTCGTTGTCTGTCACCGAAACTCACCATCAGAAATATATATAAATACGAATAAATCCCTTTGGAACAACAAATGAATTTTAAAATCTGTCTATATACCTATACCGGAGTTATGTTCGCACATTCATAAAAAACCATAAATAACCTCTTTTTTTAAGTCGGTTAAAAGGTATTTCAATCGTCGGTTGACTTTCAAATAGATATAAAAACAAATGAAAGATGAGCAAACCTGATGAAAATAAAGAATTGTTTGTAATGTTTGTACTACTACTGGTCTTCAATTATTTTATGATGTAATTACAAGTTCATTATGTGTTTTTTTTCTCATAATTATGAGACTTGGGACTTGGAACTTGTAATTTTAATGCTTCATATATCTAATATACAATTTTAAGAGTTGACGTTTACTGCAATACATTGGTTGAACTCGACAGGTAAAAATTCACTTGAACTTAATCAGTTTTTGTTTAGTTACCTTAATAACTAACAAAATGGGTTCAGATCTTTAAAAATAATACGTGAAGTACAAGATAATGAAGAAAACTTGCAAATTGTGTTAAGTGTTGATTGGTTTTGATGAAATATATAATAATAATAACAAACCAGTGAGTGAAAAACTCACCATCACAATTTCACATTTTGCGAAAATTTCAATTTTTCTTTTTTCAAACCTAAAAAAGACTTATGTGTAACATGTTCCAGACATCTGATAATGAGAAGAAGAACTTGGAATTTGAATATACCTAACACCTCATCAGAAAACAGCAATGTAATAAAAGTAAAGTAGGGGAAGGTGGCCTAAAACGGGTAAGCTAAGAACGAAGATAAAAAAAAAGTGTTAAATCATGTTAGGAATTAGCTGGATTTACTTTATAAGATAGGGTATTTATCGAACTTGAAAATAAAACACTTTTTGAAAATATATTGTATCAAATATTAATTTAATAAAAAAAATACAAATCCTTTCCAAAAACCCGTTTTGCCCGCCTATGAGCCTAAAAAGGGTAACCTCCTTTGGGCAAAACGGGTAAGTGTCATGATCAGATAAACTATAATCATAATTATAAAAGGCAGGAAGCTAATAATTGAACCTTATTTAACATTTTGGCAATTAGCATATAACAAATTCAGTCACATAACGTTATACATACGTAAAATAATCTTTAACTTTTATGAATAACATTAGATACAAAACTATATTTAGGCTCTTTTAATCAGTCTAGAGATACCTATTATTGAGATCAAACATATAAAGAAAATAGAAACAATTATTAAAACTTTCATAATAATCAACGTTGTAGATTCAAAGTTAAATACTATTCCTGACAAAAATCACAAAAATAGGAACCTATACCAGAATAAGCAGTACATGCTTCGTGAGCTCATTCTTTACAGTCTCCACATTTGATCCAGTCTTCTCCAGGTGGATTCATATAAGGGTCATCACAAACCAAGCAAACATATTTTCTTTCCGACTTTTTCTGCGTACCTTTAGTATTACCTTTCTTTGTTTTGCTGGTAGAAGGCATATTTTTGATGTTTTTGCCAACTTTCCTTGCCGTCAGAGCTGCTTTCTTTTCAGCAACTTTTGTACGTTTCTTCTTTTCTTCCTTTTCTCTTTGCTGTTCTTTTATTGGTGTACTGGTTAACACTTCAGCTTTTTGAATCTTCCAGAACCAAGATTACTTTCTTCTCCAGTGTTGGACGTATACCTTCAACAAAGTGTCGAAGCCATTCCAAAAAGGTAGGTCCTGTGATCCAGCCGTTGTCTGTGCAAGTAGCATTGGTGCCACGTGGAGACCCATCCAATAATCTGCTAATTATTCTCTTTCTTTCAAAAATGAGAAATGGGGGAACAAAAGATCCAGCTGCATTGCAACAGCTGACAACTGTCGTAAGTTTACCTCTCTCAACACTAGATATTACGCCAACCTAAAGCAGGTTCCCGGTTCTCGACAAAAATTTTGGAGGCTTATTACTTGTGGTTTGTATCCCCGTTTCATCAACGTTATATATCCGCGTTGCGTCTATCGCATGTTTCTCTATTTCTATTTCCAGTATGTCATAGAATCTATCAACTTGCGGTATCAACAACAACTCGGGCTCGTGCAATTGATGTTGGTTCTGGTTGTCTAAGCGTAAGGTGAGGGTGCCGCTTTTTAAAACCTAAATACCAGTCGTTTCCTGCTCGGCCGTCTTTAAAAGGGTGCAATATGTTATTTCGTTCTGCATACTGGTAAACAAGCTCTAAAAAGTCGTTTTTAGTACAACCATAGAAAATATCATCGACCTGAAATACATATTCTAGTAATTCTCTTTCTTGAGCCTTATTGAACACCGGCTGATATCTTCCTAGCTTCTTCTCAGAATTTCCTTTTTTATATGCCGTTGCAAAGTAGATAGGGTAAGGCCATACTTCTTTGCGGCGGCAGAGACCGAAGTAGTCTTCGCTTCTTCCATTGCTAGTCGCATAGTAGTTTCACTCCACTCCACCATCTGAAAAAGATCCGAAATATTTTAATACAAAACTGATTCCGGGCAAAACGGGTATGTACCCGTTTTGCCCGAGAGCACATGTTTTTTGTAAATTAAAAATAACCTCAAAATTAAAGGTAAATGGGGCAAACTTTTTATCTTAAATTAAAGTTAGATAGTGCTTCAATGAAACAGTAGTACTAATAATATTAGAGTTATAAAGGTTTTCGACTAATTACGAGACACTTACCTTGAATTTTTTTAACAAAATCACTTTAAAACTTTCGTTGCACACACCTACGCCATTACGCGACTCCGGCGCCTGAGCGAAACTGATCGAAACTCGTCAATGTTCGGCAACTCTCGACACAAGCACACATTGACACTTATGCTTGATACAACAATATAAGAGGGCTTACCCGTCTTGGGCGGCCCACCCGTTTTGGGCCACCTTCCCCTAACTGTCAAACAAGGTGTGCAAATGAAACTGCATTCACTACGTGTTTTACTCACTTATTCACCTTTGATCTCCAGAGTGTGCCACAGTTGCCTTATTCAAATATGTCGTTATTTTATTGCTCGAGGAAAATTTGTGTCTACAATCTTGGTATTTATGTTTGACAAGGAGAAACAGCACCCTATTTCGCTTGGAATGAGTTACATGGGAAAAGAGGAAGTAACGAATTAGGCTCAATATTAGGCTCGATTTACCTATTCTAAAATTTTTATTCCTATCCGCAAAGTTATATCGATAATATTATTCGAATATCGTTGAAAACATCTTTTAACACATCGTTACTACGACACATGGTTATAGGGTTTGTACCTTAATTGACAACAAATTACGGTACACCCTGTAAATTGTGAGGCGGTGTTGGAAGAATCTAGAACTCACAATTAAAAGGCAGGAGATTACAAAAATTACTGTTACCACAAATCGGGAGTCACACGGCCGTTTGATGCCGAACAAGTCAAAGCCTAGTATCTGAATACATACATATAGAAAAATTACTCCCAAACAGCACAAATGGACGTGCTCATTAAACAATAATTTGTCCCATGTGAGAATCGAATCAACGACCTCTGGCTTACCAGTCAGGGTTACTAACCACTAAACCAACAGGCCGAACATATCCGTTTATGATCATATTTTCTACATAAGACATTTACAACGCAATAAAGTAAAAATTATATTTATTTTATCAGCCTTCCACACTGCTGCCACTGCTAACTGCCGCCGCTAATTCGCAAATCCGGCTGAACAATATGTACATAGATGCATCGGCATACATACATATATCATAATCTCTATAAGTTGAAAGCCTCTTAATAAGGATCGTTCAGATAAATATAGCAAATTTGTCTTCACCAAATCTAGCTAAGCATATAAGGCATGTATCTCTAAAATTCCTACAGAGTAACCTGTGTATATTGATGCAAGTAACCGTGTTTGAAACAACCCCATTATTGTCGATTACACCACAAATGTACTAATTATATCGTTCTGCATTTCAGGTGAATACCCTGCTTGCCGGATTATAGCCTCTACTTTTTAGTATTCCCTTGGTTCCACAATGTATGTACTGTAGTTTTAATAATGTAATAATTTAGCATTTCTCAAAGAGTGTACCTAGTTTTTAGAATAATAGTAGTACAAAATGTTATAGTGTCGTGTACTCTACCTCGTATGTAATATTCTTTTATGTAACTGTGGGCCCACGAACGAAAACAGTGACCAAATCATTTTTGTAGTTTACGGTCCAACAGCTAAATTAATCTACTGAATAGTTTATTAAACATGTACAAAGTGATTTTAGTGTATGACTGTGATTTAAAACAGTCTACCGTGATTTTTGTGAGAAGTCTAAAGCTTTTGAATTGTTCCTAACTTTATGAACCACTGTCCACTGAATAATTTGATTGAAAAATATTATCGTAACAACTTTCTGCAATACATCATCTATAAAACTTTGCAATGGAAATCATTACATGTATTTATGGTCAACGATGGTGGACAATGACTAAAAAATACGAAAATACTGTTTTTAAACCTAGAAGCTTCATATACTTTTAATAAAATAAATAAATAATAAAATTATCCAATTAAAATTATACATGTGTATACGATAGCAATTTATGATGCCCTTTAAACTTCTCTCACGTTCTCTCGTTTTACGTTTTTGTTGTGAAGCACAGGAATCGCGAGGTCCTTTTCGCGATATCTCATGTAATCGAGCCTTACGCTTGTGTCTATGTTAATTAAGTTGTCGGCACCCTAAAGGGAGCAAACTACGCAGGACAACAGCACTGCAAAGAGAGGGAAATCTTGACATCAACCTACAAACCGTCTGGCCAGTGTGATATAGTAGGCCAAAACCTCCTTTCTAAGGAGAGTACTATATCCAGAAGTGGACTGTTAATACCTGTTGATTATGATGATATTTATAGATTATGCCTGTCAGGCTTTTGTCGATTCTGCCGCTATGCACTATTGTGTTGTGTTTTATTAAGTCCAAAAAGTTTATACAACATCAGATTTTTTTTTAATTTATAAAAGATGTAAGCTCGATAAACAATCGTATTGTAATTTTTTTTACAGTAAACTTTCATTGTTGCACTTTTTGAGAATTGCAACTATTACAGACTATTCTAGTCTCAGTTTTTGAACCGTTGGTACTCTCTACAGCTAAAATGGGCTCTGTGTTGTACGAGTCACATGATTTCCATAAAAAATGATTGTTACATTTGCGTTTTAAGAATAAGATATTCTGTAGTTTTAAATTTAAGATTTGTGATATTAAATAATATCATTATTTTAAACGTTGTTTCATTTTTAAAAACAATATTAGACGTCACTAGAAGCGTAAGCGTAATAAAAATCTTTATTCAGTCGATAAGTGATGGTGATGTGAAAAGAACATTACATTGTCCATCGTTGTAAAAGTTACTGTTAATACCTATGGAAAAATCGTCTGCGTCGTCGTGAGGTTATCAGAATATTTATATTTTATAATGTTGTTTCTTTTCATGTTGTATAAGGGTAAATGAAACATATTTTTTATTCAATATAATGATTTATTCTTCAATATATAAGCGCAATAATTTTGCTTTGACTGTCAAAATATTTATATTTACGAAGCAGGTACAAGTGATGTTTACAACACTTACAAAACCTAATACGAATTATTATTTTTTCATATTATAACAATCTTCTTAAACTTGAATGCGGTAAAATATGATTTTATTAAAATCACTTTGTGACATTATAATTTATTTTACAGTAAATATAATGGATAAATGATATATAAATTATTGGAAAATTTAATCAAAACTTTAATATCAAAGCATTAGTATATGACTTAAATAGCGAGAGATATACAAAAGTTGATTCGAATACTCAAATATATAAATTATAAAGTTAATTCTTAATTTATAACAACAATAAATCGTTAAACAAAGTGTAATACTAGGTTTTAACTTACATACAACCGAATGTTATGCAATAGTAATGTACTATCACAACTTGCCACCAAAGTGGAAGTACATACCTACTCTGACAGATAAGATGAACGTCAAATCGAGAATGATCATTCACCCTAATTACACATGAAGAAGTACTAGCCACAACAATAGATGCGAGAAAATTGTGGCGAATCGTTCTTGACCACTCAATATCTTGACCGACCCTGGATAATGTTATCCAGCCCTTGACCAAATCGTTTAGCCAAATAAACTAGAATATATCTTAGTTAAACATTCATGAGAGAATGTTTGCCACATCGAAGCCTATATTTACCAAAGTAGACCTTCCTTCGTATTTTGTAATTAATTGATGATCAGTCTCAACCTAACATTATTTATTAAACAACAAACAAAATCTCTCTCAGAAACTCTAAACTATACCTTCTAAAGTTAATCTTATACTGCAAGATTACTACGACGGTACATTCACACTACATAAGCGAAATACAAAACACTACAAATTTTAAACAATCGAAATTCATATTGTAACATTGACGTATACTCCTACTACAAGTATTCACATATAAAACGACCAGTTTTCAAAAGCTCAAGTGGCTGTTAGATTATTTCTTCTTTATTTAAGATACTATCTGTAGGTAGTGGCACAAACTACATCTACAAGCTGCCTTTACAATTTGTGTGAGACAGGCTCTCGAGAAGGTGGTCGTTTTGTTGAAAACCCGTACTAGGTGTACTAAAGTATAGAAAAGCTATAATCTAAGGGAAGTCCATTACATCTCGCATGATGTCAGCCTTTCTACAAACTACGATGAAGACTTGAAATTCTTGTTACACAAGAAATAACAACGAACATTAAGTTCAAATTGTGCTCTGTGTTAATAAATAGTTTTTTTCTTTATATCACATTACCAACAATATAAAAATAAATGCTTGCGCGACTGACTGCTCTATAGGCAGCCAAATAGACTAGGATCACTGGTATGCAGAAGGCACTGTTTTAAGAGGGTCTGTCCGTGGCACCAACACTCGGTTCAGAGAAGGCCTGAACATTTATTGTAAATTATTTTGTATTGCGTAACAGTACAACTCCGGTTATTACGCAAAATAATAACTGTACTTTTCTTTTGTAAATGTAGCCTTGTCGGTTTTCTAAACTGAAATGCACCGCCCAGACCTTTATTATCGAAAATAACTCGAAAAATGAATCACTTTGAAACTATTATACAGAGGCACTTAACAGTGGTGTTTTTGTGGACGCCCGTGAAACGACTTTACTTAAACGTACCTACCTATTGCGCCTCTTCATTAGTCAAAGTCAAAAGTTTTATTTTGAATTTTGTTCTCTGTTTATTGCATGTAGCAAAGTTCTTAACCGCTTGTCACGTAAATTTGACAAATGATTAAACTCGCCGTATATACAATATATAGGTATAACATGTACGTACTTAATTAAAAATGTCAAATTATTTTTATTAAATAGATTACCGTTCGTAACAAACACTTTTTGCACTTAATTATAGTATTAGGTATATCACGACTTATTCTGAGTTAAAGCACCTTAAAACTAATATTAGCTTACACAAATTGTAACACATGTATAATGTGGAATATATCTCTTAATAATCTGTGAATATATTTCTGTAACAAAAAATATATAATTTGGGAATTTTAACAGGAGGTAATATTTCCTATAACTATCATTGTACTGGAAGTTATCGGCTATGTGATGTAGATATTTGGGACTTGGAGTAGCAATTTTGGAGTCACAGACATAGACTAGACACCAATGGTAGTACCACCTTTTTCTTAAATTGCACCGTCAAAATCAGATCTTAATTCTTAAATAAATATTTAAACAGATCAAAGCAAAATCATAGAACCTAAAAAAATAAAACAAATGGTAATTGTTAGAATTAGACACTTAGATAAAATAAAATATTATGTGAAATACCTACTTAGAGAAAGAACTGTAACACAGTATCTGTTCCGTGTTAACGTAGTAATTACAATGGAACTAGGGTTTTAGCTCACAACGCTTGAAAAAAATGTAACACGAAAGTACTCATAACATTGAATTCATATTATTATGATGTTTTCTTTTGTAATGCGAATGCTCGACAATAAAGGCTTTTTTCGGACGTTATGCTCCATCTCTTATACATACATACTACCTACGTTATACAGGCACCAAACTATCTCTACGTTGTTGTTCTACACAGTAGACATATGATTTCGTTTCGAAATAAATTTCCCCGCACTTTCTCGTTATCTGGCACTTTTACAAGCTATTTTAATGATTCACAAAAAAAGATTTTTAAAGTTTTATCACATTCGTATGATTACACAATTTATAACCCGGAAGATGGATCAGTAGTATTTAAAACGTATTATATTTTCGTCTAAGTTTTTTTTAGGATTTTTTTATTTAATTGCCACCTGAACCAAAAATAAACTATGAACGCTATCTGTAACATGGTAAATAATTATTTTTAACGGTGACTCTATTTCGAATTTTAATAACTCCAATGCTTAAATTATACGTATACATGTCAAAAATAAATTTGGACCCGACAAATAAGTGTTACTGATAGTGGATGTCGTTAGCTAAACAAGGCATCCGTCATTAAGGCCATTATTGAGTTTGCTTTGTCCATCAGTGACTGTACCTGGGTACGTATGACACTGCTGTGAACCTACCAGGTTATAATTCACATCTGGGTCATAATATTCCGTCTCAGAGTCGACGGGGACGAGAAGGGTCGTAGACTTGGGTAGATAACCGTCGGTAGTGACGTACGTGTGTTCCCCTGCAGGCGGTAGACTGAGAACACTGTCGGGCCGATTATAGTCTGGATCTGCGAGTTGAGGTGGTACGTAGATGGTGTCGAGGGACGATATGGTTGAATCTATAGAAGAATCACCGTTTAATGGAGTAATGCAGGTATAACTTGACGCTAGTATGTTTGCTGACTCTGGCCTGATGTAGGGCGAAGGTGAATTGTCCGCCTGCCTATATTCATATGTTCCTGGGAATGTATTCGGCGATTCGAACGACCGTAGGTTGATGTTGTATGATGTGGCTGGAGATGTCCTGGCGTTATTCGATTTGACACAAGATGGCGCGTGCATGTTTAACATGTCCATCAATCGACGCTTTTGAAGTTCCAAATCCTGAAAAGAACGAAAAATACAATTTTTATTGTACTGTTTTAATGTTTTAGTGGTGATGCCTTATCTTGCTGTCGCCATGTAGTGCCGCGCCATTAACAATAATAAGTGGTTGTCTCCATTTGTTATCGTCTTGACTAGCGTCATAACCGATAATTTTATCCTTTCGGGGAAATTTCTTTTACATACAGGTGAGGTGAGCAGAATTTTGACCTTTCATGACCACAAGGCGACTTATATTTAACATAATATACTAACTACCTCATTCGGGTTGAAACTACGTGAGTATCGCCTGGCCAAGCATGCTACTTCACGATTTCCACTTTAACCTACGGCGAGCATCTGCTACCATTATGTCATTAGTATTGTTCCTGAGCTCGAGTTTTATTGAAAGATTAGGGTCATAAACCACAGTACGGCGCCTGGCCGCATATGGATTGGCGCCTTCTATAAAGACGTACTTCTGAGAGATTACACAATTTTAGTCATGGTGAAAATCTAAATTTTATACTAGTCTTTACTTAACTTTTTTATATGTGTGTGGGTGTGATTGAAATGTCACAAAATAAATAAGATGTTTACCTTAAGTTGTGCTTTAAGATCAACATTCTGATTCTCCAAGACCTCACTTTCTGTGACCAAGTTAGTTGTTCGCTCGCGTTTCTTCATCCGACATTTTGTTGCTGCAATTTTATTTCTCTCTCTTCTACGCCTTCTACGCTCCTCGTCCTCGGGTGTTAGCTGAAATGAAAACAACCAATAAGTAATCAGTTTGATCGAATAACGCAAAGTTAAGTACGGAACATATTCGACAACAAGGTACATGTACATACATTCGTATGTGTGTTGGTACTTTTATTTTATTTCACATATTTTTTAGAGTTACTTTTAGATGAAGCGTCAGTGAACTTGCAGAACTGCTCGCAACAAGTTTTTAAAACCTTATCGAAATCCTATTAATTTTATGAGAGTTAACTACTGGCATCTGACAGTTCAATGTTTTTTCTAAACCTATTCAGAATAAATAATCAGATAATAATTCGTTAAACACATCAAAAAATGCTACTCGATAATTTAAATCATAAATTTTCTACAGGTTTTAAATGCACCGTATTTATTTATCGATATCCGTCACTCGAAATTAGCATCGAACAAAGACAAAAGAATCAATAAATCCTAATCGAATCCTGGCTACTCTATACGCCGATCATTTCTCATTGTCATATTGCCACCTTTCAAAATCAGAAAGTGAAGTCACGCCTGTCCCGCTGTCCTATTGGCGATGCCTTCTTCGTAAGCTCGTAAAACTTCAATGAAGCCGTTGAATTACAATGCAGCACTGTGCGCTATAAAACTTTGTTTAGATACAATTTGCAATCTTCCGCACACATATTTATTTATTGATAGCAATTGAGAGATGCAATCGAACCTCATAAAATGGTTGGTATGGGTTGGGCGCACACGTACCTAATATACTGACCAAGGTTTCTAATTCTATCCGGTTCGTTGTTATTTTAGAACACTGCCTATCCTGAACTGTACAAATTATGTTTTAGTATTTAACGGCATTCATATTTTAAACGGGATAACTTTTAAAACAACAATTTGGCGTCGCTTTTAGCTGATGTGCAACTTAGATTAGTGCCTAATAATTTTCCTATCTTAATAATAAGAAATACAATTATATTACACCTAAGGGTATGTATGTCATAGTTGTCATAGTTGCGGAGTTCATGACTTTGACTTGACATGACAGCTCTTTACTGCAATGTATAATAAGTTACTGCAAAAGTCTACCATTATGATGTACATTACTGCGAAAGTTTACAATCGCTACGTTCTTTGTTCCAAAAGGTCTTGCGATGATTGCAGTTTCGATCATTACCATTAGCATTAGCAAGAGGGTTGCTGATACTGGTGATAGTGCAAATATTATATTGTTGGACAAGACTTAGTTTTGAACATGATCAATAATTGTTTATTTAGCTCAGAGATTCCCAGTTTTTTTTCTCACAGACTACTTTCAAAATTTAGGTGGTTCCGATGGACCCCCTGCAGCTACATTTCTACCATATTCCCAAAAATCGACAAAAAATTTGAAGATTAGATCTGACTATGGAAACTTGCATTGCAGCTGAGTTCCAACCACGAATTAAAAGATTTCGAAAAAAGTGAGAATTGATTAGTTAATTAATTAATTGATTGTGCTGTGAGTGGATGTCAAAAAGTAAAGATGGCCAGTAAAAAAAGTGATTTCATCCAACTTTACTTTTTTGACATCTACTCACAGCACAAGGAACCAATCAATTCTCACACAAGAAACTTTCAATATCAGAGCTCATTTCATCAATACGTCTTTGTACAGTGTTGTTACTTAAAGGAATTCTCTTCAGTATGTCAAATGAACGTTTATCCTTGGCATTCTTATTTATATTGGTGAAGGACTAACTAAGTTCATGCAAGATTCCAAGCACACACACACACACCACAAGTTGTATTTCGTCCCTTTGCACGTCTGAACAAGCGTTTCGGACGGCGGCGGAGGCAGTTGTGGCGCTTTGCAAGTCTCTACACGTACCGAATATGGAATATGCAAGTTTTTACATTGATAGGTAAAGTCAAGCCAACATTTTAGTTCTTCACTATCGAAACCAGATAAATTTTCGTGACCCTCGCCTATGAATTGTGAACCCCCAATTTTTTATCAACCAACCAACGTAGACCCCATCGAGTCTCCCGTGGACCCCTGGGGGTCCACCTGGATCACTTTGGGAACTAAGGATTTAGATGAACAAAAATTGTAAGCAAACTTAAATATTGGGCCAAAAGATAACATTTAAAACACTGCAAAAATGTTAATTATGTTTTTTTAAGTAACAGAGTTGCGCAAGTCCACTCAAATAATCTTCAATAGGTATTCATGTCGTTCTTTCGTGACAAGTGACTATTCATTTTATTTACTTAAGTAATTTGTTGTGCTTCGTTCTCGGTTTTTTACTTTTAGTACTCTTCCAGGCTCGTAACCTGTGTGATTTACATTCTATACCTAAGAACCAAATTATAAATAGTGATGCATTATGAACTATCACTTATCTGTATCTAAGCGTTTTAATTTACCTTACTATTCAATGTCTGGTCTCAGAATATAATAATAGTAAGGTAGGAAATAATAAATGTCCTTGTTGGATCCTGTTCGTTACGTGATAGTCTAATCTTTACAATAATCACCATCCACGATTCATTCTATCTAGATGGTTTAGGACTGACACATTGTAATTTGTTTTGTACAAAATTGAATTTAATTTAATGTGACACAATTATGAACATGAATAAAAATACGTTTAATAGTAGTATTTTAGAGTGTATTCCGCTGTTCCTACTTGAACATTTTCCTTCTGAACGACTACCTACATGATAAAATGTTAATTACCTACATTTTACCTAGAATTAAACTAAGTTTTGGTTAGAATAAAACTGTAAACAACCCTAGATATGTGTTCTAGCTATACTAAGGTAGTAAGAATGTACTTTACCCGATTAATGCAAAAGCAATATTATAAGTATAATAAGGTAAATTCTAGATTAGTGTGCTTCATTTTTTTAACAAGCAGCCTCCATGATGCTATTTAAAACGAGACGACGTAATTGTGATGACGTCTCGTTTCGACGACGCACTCTCTCACATCTGTTTAGTATAAAATTTTAAACACGTATTATGTAAAATTAGCATTTAGTATTTAAAAATGATTGCAGTTATCTTACCTCATTATATCATTTTTTAATTGCTATAGTCGTATATGTACCTACATAATCTTAGGCGTGACGATTATTTTTTTTATTAATCAGATATAAACGAAATTTTGCAAGGTACATGCGTACTCTTATTTTTACAAAATTTTCTGACTTGTACGATATCAAGTGTATAAATCAAAGTTGATAGCAGGCCAACTGCACGTACGATACTTAATTGCCTTAGTGTCAGTGACAGCTCGAGACTTAACGATATCTTATTTTTTAAGTATTAAACCATCAGTCAAGAAGATATCACTATCTAAGTCTTCCTACTTTACGACGGTTAAGGTGGTAAACGGAAATCATTGAGAATATGTGAAATATATATAGCAGTTCTAACAAGTTCGCTTGTGCAGTTTTATGTTAGCTCAATAACTGACAAAAATTAAAAAATAAAACACTATATTTACTTAAGTGTTAAACAATAAACGCGTAGCTTTCTAGCTTTGGATTTTTCTTTTAATTTTCGTTAATGTGAATTAACTCACCCCATCAGATTTATTATGCTGTGTGTGACTGCTGTCATATTCGTCGTCGCTCTCCTCTTTCTTCAATCGTTTGAAGCTCGCGTCAGTGTCGCTGCCTGACATCTTGCGCTTCGACTCTATGGACAACTTCAGACCAGCCTTTATAAGTTCCGAACACGTCTGGAAACAAATATTTGTTTATGCTAGAGTAAAAAATTAAAATTAAAATGCTGACTGATTCAGATGGTACGAACATGGTACAGAAATGTGGCGGTTGTCAGGTTGAAGTTTTGAGGGCCGGCACCCCACCGCGGTTTTCGGTGAGGCAGTGTGTCGGAATCGAACCGACTAAAACCACACGGTGTGCGACTCAGCGCTTCAAATAGGAAGGATGCTGTAACAGCTGGTTTTAATACTTTCGGACCATCAATCGCCCTTTGCTGCTGTTCATCTAACCTTTTAAGTACACGGGGCCTCTACGTGTGAGAAAGTACCTACTCTACGAGAATTTTCTTACTAAAGTAAAGGAGATAACAATAATAATGTCCTTATTTCCAAGTATACTGTTTCAGGTTTTAATGTTAAGTACATGCCTGTAATATGTAGCTTGTGGATTTATGGCAATTGATAAGATTAGTTTTCCAAGCTTAAGATATAAAAACGTAATAAATGTCATCGTCATGTAATGACAATCAAAAATTGACAAAGGTCTTCGGGAACTAATCATGTACAACGAGCAGTAATCACAAGCAGTGCCAATCTCAAGTTATAATTTTGTACAGTAGAGGATAAGCTTTAGAAATCTAGTTACAGCTCACTCTTGCGCTGTCTTTCATACATACATACATAGACGAGCCCCTAACTCGCTTATTCTAACGATTGATTTAATAACTAATATATTGTTACTGAAGCGTCTCTATACTGAGTTTAATTTGACCATTGACTGATGTTCTTATTCGCAAGTACCTACACATTTAAATGCTGCAATAAATTTCGGTATGTAAAATCAGTGGCAATATTTAAATTTTATTACCAAAGTATAATATGGTTTACTTCCGTTATGACGTTTGAACCCTGATCCACTTCTTATACCTATATGTAGTTATGAAAGGTTTAGATTTGACATAAAATGGAACTTTTGATTACCTTGTTTATCCCTTGGTATTAACACTTTGTTTGTGTGCTATTTAAGGTTTTATGTTCGACATTCCGGTCGGTTACTTTATACTTAATTGGTGTATTTTTATTTAGTTTAACCCTATCCACTCTATCCATTATATGCCTAACTGGTGCTGAAAGTAACAGCTGGAAGCGTCTCAATGTTTCTTCTATTCATCAATCGGTGACTTCCAATTATAATATTTTGACATCTGTAGGGTTTACCGACACGCAAAGTCTCTGAGTAGAAAATTTTGATCGCTATGAGGTCTCTATTGCCGATATCTACCTCTGTATAGAACCTGAGTTTGAGAATAGAATTACAGATTATCTGTATGTGGATGATGTGACACAGAAAATACAAAAAATGAATTGCGTTTTGAGGAATATTAGTCGTGAGGACACCAGTTCAAAAAAGAGTCTTTGGTATTTATAGACTGTGGCATCACTAAAGATATGATGAAAACCATTCTAGTGCTTTAGGTGAGGTCACGAGATAGCATAGAATGGATCATAGGATATTGGCGGTACTCAACGTATTTGAGAAGTCAAAACAAGAAATATCGATTTACTAGAAACTTTGATCCTACCCGATGCAACTGGAAAGAAATGGAAAGGAATTATGTTACGGCAATTTAAAAGTCAACAGCGCAATACTCGTATTATGTTTGATGACTTAAATATAATATACAAAAGTATAGAACAAAAGTTAATTTACACACATCAAAAACATTAAAATTTAATTTAATAATACGTGTGGTGTAATGGTTGAAACGCTTAGCTTGATTGGTAATGACATTTTATCATGATAAACATTGTCACAAATTGAAAATGAGTGACGATGGTCTTTAATTGTCGGATTCTAACAATTTATTATTAATCAGACACTTATCTTATTGTTCGACATATATGCGTTTTGTTGTCCTCAAGTATGATACAATATATTGAGAATATGATATTACGTTTTCTGTGTACGAGTATTTGTTCTAATTCGAAAACTAATTTCGGTATAGTGAGTGATAAAGAAGAACCATACTACCTACTACCGCTTTTTTTGTTTTCTTGAAAAAAAAAACTATAATAATACTATAAAGAGATAAAGTTTGTGAGTTTGTATGTTCAGGGCAATCTCCGGTACTACTGGTCCGAATAGAAAAATTGTTTTAGTGTTGAATACCCTATTTGCGAGAAAGGCTATATAACAAAAATGAAATAAATAAAGAATTAATGACCTGAAGAAAAATGTTGCAAAAACGGTCAATATTTTTCCTGTTTGAGAGACGCAGAGGAAATAAATTTAGTAGATGAAGTCGCCGGCACTAACTAGTTATATTTGAAACACTGTCCCCATTACCTTATCATAATATTGTACATTTGTATATAATTCTTTGCTATAAGTATTACCTAAGAAGTTATTGTTTTCTTGAAATTTTGCTGCGGAAATATTGGTAATTTACATTATATTACTTAAATATTAAGATTGTAGCACTAACAAACTAAACAGGTTTGATCACAATAGAACTTCTATTCAATGACTCGTTATTCGTAGTATTAAAAGAAATTTTGAAAATCAATACTTCTTTATCGACAAACAAAATTGATCTGGATTTATGTATACATATGTCTCTATAATATAAGTACTTAACGAATAAACCGGATTTGATACATCGTAAGATGATTTGTTTCGATGTAAATAATTTAAAAGATAATTAAATGAAAGATATTTATTTTGGAAATGCGTTTTAAAGAACGTGAAGATGTTGTTGTAATAATGTAGGTAGGTTTATTATGTAATTAGTTACTTTTATGCTGTCAGTTTTCTTATCTTTTTAATAACTTTACTTGATAATTAAGTGAATCATTGATGTTAATATATTAACTCCATTCCGGTCACAAACAAAGATGAGTCTCACGTTTTCTCACCGCATAGATATTACGAGTATGCAAAAGCAATTACGACTTTATGTAATTGTACAATTCCAATTGAAATTCTATAAAAAAATAAACATGATTAATATGACAATTATCAAGGAGCTTTGTTTTTCTCACATTTTCAACGTCCGCCTATTGTTTAGAATGGATGCAATGCATTTAGTAATGCTCCTAAGGCAATGCTACCGCATTACTAAATAAGAAAAAAAACGCTCGATTCATTCAATAGCTACTAATAATGTTAATTTGAATACGAGGTCACAGAAATCAACAAATTATACATCTTTATTGAATTACACACGCCTACATACCTATATAGTGTTGTTATTTTTTAATAATAAGGAAAATCTAAAACACTTTGTTATTGCCTACTACGATTTTCATAAACTGTTAAAGATTAAGTATATCTATTGTAAAACAAATTAAAGAGTTTGTACTTCGTGCATCCGACATGTATGGGTGCCATGCCAGGTTAATTATTTTCTCGTATGTACCTTTTCGTAATTAGTAAATTTCCCTAAATAAACTTCGTAAATTGTTGTAACGTAAACATTATTCTTGTTTCTAGTTTTTTCAAGACAGCTCCCGAAATAGGAATAAATCCTGTATTTATGTTTACATACTTTACAAACAAAACAACAATTTGTGGATCACGGAAAGTGTTGTCCCATGTGGGGATCGAACCCACAACACTCAACCCAGTCCATCCGTGTAATCATTCTACTGGTGATTACTATTCTATTTCCAATAAAACGTTTAAGTCACCAAAAGTTCATATTCTGATAATTTCTAACAGGTAAGGAACAAATTACAGAGTAAAAAAATTACCTTTTGTATGCTGGGTGGAGTGCTAGAAGCTGGTGAAGTGGCCGATGACCCATTGGACATAGACGAGTTCGAGTCATTACCGCTTCCGGGCTGAAACGATACAGGGAAATGAGAACTCACATCGCACTCTATTGGCAACACTAATGTAACTATTTCCACCACGTATTTGAAATGTATGAGACAGTTTTCACGTAAATACCCTTAAGGCACGCGATTCCCGAAAAAATAATAATGACCATGCTGATTTCTTAGGTAATATCTGTGGACAGTTTAATAGCATACCTTTTTTTGATGAGATGCATTATTTTCTGAGTGATTTTTATTACCAATGACTTTATTTTTTTAATTACTGAAAACAAGTAACAAAATATGGACATATTTTTTCACATTTGTTAGACTGTATTTTAGACAACTATTCAAAATCGTCGGTCGTCGTCGGTCCAAGATCAATGATATAAATTGTGCAATGTCATTAAAATTACAAAAAAGATCAAGACGCATTCTAAATGTGTTTTCCACATTGATTTCTGTTATAAACTAGTGTCAAAGTTTAAAAAAAAAATTCATTTTCAATTTGCATTTTCAACGTTTTTTGTTTCATTTTGTTTATAAAATGCCCCTGCCCAATTAATATTATAAAATAGACATACTAATATGTTGTTCTAATTTGGTTGTTAATATTTATGAGACACTCATGACTGTTCGCGCAGATAATTATAAGCTTATTGAATAAATTATGAGCATTCTTAGCAGATTTTACAATAAATTGTCTAGGTATGTGTTAACACTAGGCGATTGATGTTAGATTGTTCTTGTGGGTAATTGACTAATAGAAATTTGAACTGATAAACATTCTTTTAAAAACATCCATATTATAGATAAAATACAGCCAGATACATAAGAAATGACCGTAGTCATTACACAATATTTGTCCTGAGTGTGAATCGCGCAAAATGGCTCTAACACCTTCGCCATTTCGATTTTTATAAAGGGATTTTAACGATACCCCACACATCATACAAACATTCCGTAGGTATAAATAATGAACCCTTAAAACAGTACTTTCTTTTTGGAGAGTTACCGATAAAAGATTTCCTTGCCTTTATACCACATTAAGCGAAATTGTTGTTTTATACTAATATTTAAAAAATAATTTTGTAAACCATCTTACTATTCAATTCAGATTGTTTATTTGCAAATTAGATATCATGAGTTTAGTTCCTTAAGTAGGCTGTTCGTACTATGCTAGTTCGTAAATGTCTTCAAAAATGTTTATTTATAGTTAAAAGTTACATGGGACGTGAATCACGACAGCGACGCACATAATCCGGTAAGTAAACAAGCGCCTACATTTTTTGCTCAAACTCTACAAGTAATATTTTTGTTTACCTAAAGGCTGCCAATTACAGCAATGGTACATTGGGGCTTATTTGCTTATTCTGTCAATATTGAATTTAAAATTAAAACTAATAGTGACCAAAATGTATCCGAAAAGTTTCAACATTTGCATTCAATTATCCCAAAATAAATTCAATGTCAACAAAAACACGGATGGCCGCAAATGTATTATATCAAATGGGTCATCAAATAATTAATTGTCCGTTCGTCATATTGTTTTACGTTCTGAATTGTCCGCCATTCATATTGAAATGATGAAACTCATTCATGAACCCGCGATTCGAAATAATCAACAGTGTATGTAATGCTTATATCTAACAACACGATAACAAAATATAGATAACCCGATATCAAGTGTAACTGGCGCCATCGAGTCTGCTGGTAAACACAGTAAACGTGGAGTCTGCATAAGGTGCATGACCTCACGCCATTGCACACTGCGTTATCCAATGTTTATAATGGGGGAGTGATGGCCGGTCACGTGACTCCGCATTACGTGGCAACTAACACTTGGCAACCGTTCAAAATACTTGTAACATTTATTTTACATTCTAACGAGCATGCATGGATGTGACCTAAGTACTGGAAGGATCCTACGTGCATTGTCATTATTCAGCAACTCTGTGAAAGCACGAATAGTAATGAGAGCTTCAAGAACAGTCTATTAAACGCTATTCGATATTCCCGACAGCGTACCCAATCTATTATTGCTTCCAGTGAATCTTGGATGCTTTGATTGTAAAGTACTAGACTAAACAATGAACCTAGGTAACTACATTTAGATACATTTAGTATCACTTACGGCTGACAACACAGGTCTGTTATTAATATTAGGCCAGTGTTATAGCGTTATAAATTTAGTCATCGCATTATTCAATGCGTAAAGTATTAAATGGCCTTAAAACGAATATTTCATTAATCATTTGTGGTTTTCATAAATCATGCGTGCGGACAATACAATAAAAAAAACTTGCTCACCTTGAAACTGGAGTTTTTCTCATAATTATATTGGTCCAAAGGGTTGGTCATAGTGATGACATCGTTGACAATTTCGGGAGTTCTAAGGGTTGTAGGCCCGGCGGACTCTGCTGTGAGCATATTGATCATGGCAGCACTTAAATTGACGTTGACACTAAGATTGTAGCTGTCGCCGTCTGTGCCCACTGCTGCCGCTGGCGACGGCGACGTGTCCTCGCACTTGATAGTCGGCACCGCAGAGCTCATGCTCGTCGAGTTCATGATATCTTTGTAGGGAGCCAGCTTAGAATCTTTTTGGTAACGTTTTTGCAATAAAAATCACCGGTGTCGGTTAGCACTTATACTAAATATGACTATATCACGGTTACACACTATCACTAACATATAACTAAATATCACTGTATGTGGTAAACTTGTTACGAATGGCACTTAAGTCTTCTTCAACAAGAAGTCTTCACGGGTAACGTTCGTTTCACTCTTGTAATGTAATCTGTAAAAAAGATACATCAATCATTAATTATCTCATATTATTTTGAAAATACCTAAAGATATAACGATTATAAACCGGATCTTGAGTCGGGACCTTTTGATATATGTATACTCTATCATTAAAGTAAAAATCATCTTTAAAGTTAAAATTCAGTGTTTTCTTTCAATAGCAGTTTATATACATATAGCTACATGTAAATCTTTAGTTAAATGTCTCGAACTATTTGCGCTTTTGTAATATTTAAGCGAGATGTATGTAAAATGTGGTCAGTAATTTTCTGAAGGGCACACAATATTGCAAGACGGTTCAGTGAGGCCGGTATTTCGCAAGAGTACACGAAGCGTCTTTTTAATTAGACCTATCTAAGCATCACGACCTCGTAGTCAGGATGCGACTCCAATAAAACGCTTTTTTACAGGCCCCAATTGAACGCCAGCCATAAAATTTAAACTACGCGCACTTTTTTACGAGGCATTTTAACGCTCTTCCGCGTGTAGTCTCATCTATTGTTTCGTGTCGTGGCTCGGCATAATACTACACGGTATCAGGGATTAGTGGGTACAGCAAGGACAACCGTGGATTAAGAATTAATAAACATAACGACAGAAGACTTCGTGAGATTACGTATATTATGTGGAAATTAGGTTGTAGTGAACAATCTGCATAATTAAACCACATCGTGACAATCCCATTTGTACCATCGAACAGGAGCTAAATCCAATAGTCCATATATAGCTAGCTGACTCGAAAGCTGTCTGGCGCCTTGACCTGGGTGTGTATATCTGTATATCTCATATCTGTGGCACGTAACACAATAAAACACGGAGTCTGTGTAACCTAGTTGCGACGGTTTTACTTATTCCGCTCGCGGAGGAAAATGTGCCACGACGCCAGAAATATGGAGGTACCAGATATGGGCAGGTATTCCCAAGGTCGAAGTTATTCTCGGAAAATAGCTCATCTGTTGGCAGGTATTTGTGACCGCAGCGATGTATTCTTTTGGTCGTAAATAGGTTTCAATTTGTATTCACTTTATTTGTACGTTTTATTATCCTATTTCGAATGAATCACAATGTCATATGCTAGCTAGTTTTATCTTATTCGTAGGTAAACCATCGGCAAAATATTGGTTTGTAGTTGAATCTTGCTGACATAGATGCATAGAGAACGTTATCAATTTGTGCAATTAATATGTAAGTGCGTAAAAATTAAGAATTAGGGATTGAGTGGATATTAAGTATTACTAAGCTTACGTTTACCTATTATTTTATTCTCTAAATCTAAATTTAACGCTTGAACATGCTTGACAGGTTGCTCTATTCCATTATTAAGGAGTGAGAGATTACTAAAAATTTCAAAAAGGAAATCAAATAGACATTCGACGATTTCCAAGGCCACCCAGTTAAGAGCTAAAGTTTATCAACTATGCAAACTGATATTCTAAAGTACTTTAAAACCATATTGCGATAATTGATTGTTTTTGCTAGTGAGGCGATAGAACTAAAGAGAGACAAGTATTACAAAACGCTAAAATCCCTGATCCATCAGTAGGCACTGGGATGTTTGATGAGTAAACGAAACACATCTGTGCAAACAGCACGATAGTTGCCAAAGATTTTACACTCGCCCGCTCAATAAACATACGAATCTAATGGTGAAAGCGATGCGCGGAAAGTTCAAGGAGATCTTTATGAGAGAAATTGCAATTGGTATGTCAAACGCACTCTCAACAAAGGTACACCCAGTCCTTGAATGCATAATGACAAGCTAAGCTAGATATGCGTGGGTTTCAATAACTGTCGTAAAGCGAATAATGCAAATTATATTGGGTAGGTAGTAGGACGTCCGTACCCTAAAATGGAAAAAGAAATATATAAATGTATCCGCTTTTAACTGCGTAGGTTTCGGATTAGCTTGTAATATTTCGAAGTACCAAGAGGACGATTGTTTTTGTCGTTTTATCACATAACACTATGTTTAAATAATCACGTTCATTTGTATTTGCATCGCATGCCACAATTTTACACAATATAAATGCATATACGTTTGACGAATTCAATTTTTTATCGAATGCTTATATTTTATACGCATAATGAACAAATAACTACGCAAATTCAGCCCCATTTAACGCGTGATATCGTCTCGAAAGTAGTATATGAGAGCACTTAAATTCTTACTCTTTCCCTTGACTTGGATATAAATACGTGTGAAGGAGAGAAACGATGGGATTGCCATGAGTTTGCAAGCAAAGGGGTCGAGTTCTATATGTTTAAAACGTCACAGAATGCAATAAAAGCGAGGTCGTTACGACTCTTTGTCCGCGAAGCGCTACCGAGTTAACGAGAAATGGGTAACCTAGTTTTGGCCGCACCCGCTGCGTACTACGTTACTGCTTGTCAACTTAATTGCATTTCTCTAAGTAGCTACACTCTTAATTAGTACTATTTTATGTTAAAATTTCCATTTGTTTAGATTGCGTATACTGATAATAATCAGTTAGAAACATATTCGGTATTATCACTAAAATTTATTGTGTTTATAGTTTTTTCAAAAGATACGAGGTATACAAACAAATAAATGTTAGGTTAGGTTAAACAATTGATTACTTTGTTGACACTGTATTTGAATCCAAGGACGGATGCCCAAAGATAACAGTTGGCCGGATGAAACCTACGAGTGCAATTGGCGTAGGCAGAAACCTAGTGTCTAGTTACATTCTCTAATGGGGTTTAATTTTCTGTTCAAACAGATTTGTGATGTCCTTCCTTAGGCATTTGCTGTTACTGTCAAAATGATTGAGCACGGGTCTACGCTATTATCTTTTTCTGCAGTAACTAGTACGAAATGCATATTTTTTTGTTATACTTTCACATCTTGACTTATCAACCGATCATCATAAAATAAGCCACATGCTTTTAGAAAAATGATAACTTTACCCGAAAATGAAGTATTTTTATTTATTTATTTAAAGGCGGACTTAATGCCATGAGGCATTCTCTCCCAGTGGCAGGTGCATAATAAAATATTAAAACAGATAGATATACACAGATTTTTCCCGGGAAATGGATAACACGAACTGGGCAGCGGGGGCAAGCTGATAGCTAGGTGTTATTGTATTCAGAAATATACTCTGCACTATACTATTGACTGGTTGTTCGAGAATCATATTTCTAGAACCATAGAAGTAAAATTTTGATTGAGTTCGTGAAGCAAGACATTAATCGTATTGTTTTTTTTACCACAAAATCTTTTCTATATTATTTTCTAATTATGAACCAATCAATATCCAAAAGGTAAGTCAATACAAATATTGTTATCTCTTAATAACCATAGACATATTGAATGCAATGTTTATTTAAGAGAAAAACTAATTATTTAGGACGGTCAGCACAAAAATATAATTATTTTCAAATTAGAAGACAACACAATTCCATATAACATAGGAGGACAAAAAATACTAAACATCGAGTAGGAAAACTTCATGAACTAATGCACAACAATTTGGACAAGCGTAACTGATGATAGTACTTTACAATAAGGTAAAGTAATCAAATAAATAATGTCTGCAATGTTTGGGTTCATTGTTATTCACGTGTAGAGGACGCCGTTTTTTAACACCGCTTCTGGTACAAAACAATGTAGCCAACATATATTGTAGAACGGAAATAACAAATTCTAACCAATCAAAATTAGTAGGTAGTACATACAACATAAAAATAGACTGCGATGAAAATGGTTCTGCAGCTATTTATAGTTAGATACATAATGACTATTAGGTACTAGGTATTAAACTTATAATTGTTATCGTATGATCTTAATACTGGTTTTTATATCCAGCTAAGTATAAAAAAACATTAATTCATTACTAATGTAATTAAGTACCAGTTATTTCTCACGTTTAATCTTGACTTAAGAAATGTTGGTAAGAGAATTCTAAGCAATCAAAATTTGCATATTTTAAATTTTAAAAAACTTTGCAATATATACTTGGTATAAGGTTGTGCAAAGTTAATTTCGTCGGTTCTAATGTTTTACGCAATAAGCTAATTTGCTAAACGCTTTTACTAAAGTTTAAATTAAGTAATTTTGATTTTGTATTTATAATATCGCAAAATTTATCAGGATTTTCGAATTAGTTAAAACAATTATTGAAAGAATTATTTCTTTTAAAATTGAATACGTTTTTATCATATGTGTTGATAAATGCAATATCAGATAATGGTAAGTTAGTTTCTAATATAACAATAGTATGTTCAGTGTCATATAAGAAGCAAAGCGACCTATAAAATTGAGATCAGAAATTTCACTTATTGATGAAGGACACTTTTTGGGACTCTAATTAGTGGATTACTAATAAATTATAATATAACTGATTTTCTAAAAATGATAAACCTCGATGTAATAGCATATTGAGGAAATATATATGATTTATGAAAATATAACATAAGAATTATCAATTATTCCTACTCTTTACAAGGATAACATAATTAAATGTCAAGTTCAGGACTTGGCTACCTACCAGGAATATTTTTATCTGGCATGTGTCACATATGTTTGTATAAATAATTGTTTCCAAGTGTTGTTTGTTGTTTAATTCGCTCAGCTTTTTGTCAAAGTATGTACCGAAGTAGCGAATTAAGCGATAGTGCTATCTTAAGATAGTGCTAGCTTACTACACAATCAGGGTTAAAATAGATATCTTATTCTAGATCGTGGTCATCATAGTGGTATAAAGCTGTATACACGCTAAACGGATCATAGTTGGCTAGTGTTATCATAGTAGTATTGTCATAATCATCTCAGCAACAGCACGTGTACAGCTGGACAGAAGCATTCTTTAATGACTTTAAAGAATTCTGGTTAGAAGCAGACTCCATCCAAGAATTTTTATAACGTCATCTATCCGCTTAGTTGGTCGACGCCCAACGCTAAAAGCAGAAATTTGCCTATTCAGTAATAGGAATCATCATCATAAACAGCCTTTAACAGTTCACTGCTGA